GTGGTTCACTTGTGTGTTTTAGGAAATATATCCATGGAAATTTGGAGAAATTATCTACAACAATAATCCAGTATTGGACCTCCCTGGAGGTTTGGTTTAATTGGTCCTCCAATATCTGTGTGCACAATTTGTATGGGGTGCTTGGCTCGGTTTCCTCCAGTGGACTTGAAAGGTAATTTCTTCATCTTTCCTAAAGCACAACATTCACAGAACTCTGGTGTTGATGATGAGCACTGCTGTTAGAAAACCACACACAAAAACAAACTAACACACAATCCTCCCAGATTCCACGGAACTTGTTTTTGGGCTTTGCCTCCTAGAACAGTGGAGTGGTCTGGTTGTTCGTGGGGTGGTACGTATAATGATCCTTCGAAGTAAAACCCAGAGATGTATGGGTGTGGGTTTTGAGGAGGAGGGATAGTTGGAATATAGAAAGATAGGGGCTTTGTGGCGAGTATAGACGAGCACTACCTTGCTAATCGTAGCACAAGGTAGGATTGAGAATGACAATATGACGAGGTGACAAAGTTCCCAGTGATAGCAGGCACCTGACGCACAGACTGTAGTGCTCAGAAGGACTCTAATCGAAAGGGATGATAATCACTTTCAAAAAGTGACGAGTGACGATGATAGCAGTTAACAGTGGTAGCAGTGGGAAGTGTTGTGACCACACTGGATCACAAGTAGTAGTGAGTAGTGAACTTGAAATTAGAGAAGAAGTCTGGAATTGAGTTCTTGTTGTTATTTTACAAGGTAAAATACAGGAGTTTATGTAGTGAAAGAAAAGTAGGCTATGCACAGTATAGCTGTGCAAAAAGAATGAGAAAGAACTTGAAGGAAGGAATGTATGGTGACAAATCCTGCATAGGTAGTACAGAATAAGATTGTCAAAAAAGGAAAAGAATGGGATAGAACAATGAATGCTGTGAGTAATGTCACAGGTTTGTACAGCCATAAAATAAAGTCCAATAGCAGAAAGAGAGCAGGAAAATCATGATGTCATGGGAAGATGCAGTAAAAAAAGGGCAAGGCAAAACACTATCAGTATCAACACAGTTCCTTTATTGTCAGTCAGGCATTCTGAAAAATATGTGTCCATAAAAATGATTCAAAAATCAAAAATAATTGCACTGTAAATGAATGTTCTGCTGAAAAAAAAGAAACTGGAGCCACCAGTCCACCACCTAGTCCAAATCCGACAGTTCCATGGCCTTACAAATGGACTGGTTGTATTGGACCACCTGGTCAAACAAGGGAGGGAGTGGAGTAGTTCCAATTTGGAACAAGTGAGTCCCAGGCAGCGTGTGGTAGGTGTAGCTGTAGCGAAGACGATGGACAAAAGATAAGTGTACCCAAGTGAATGGGACAGTGATGTACATGGGCGACACAAGGGGATGAACCTTCTCCAGCTCAAAAACTACCCACCCACACTCCAACGAGGCAAGACGAGCGACCGATGTTTTGATAGTATATGATGGCAGATCGACGTCATGAAGATGGACCTGTTGCCTTATTTGGACCGGCCGCCGGGGCTTTGCTGATATCAGCAGTGGCACGTGGTAGTTG